AAGCGGCTGAAGATGGATGGATGGATGGATGGATGTTTTACAGGCAACCAGATGATGCAAAAAAGATCATATATTACTGGTGTCGGGGCCAGAGTCGAAGTGGGATTTGTGTTCAAGCAGGTTGGCGATTATATATAGATATACTGTATGTACTTAGTTTTTTTTTGTTGCTTTGTTTTGGCCATGGCAGTAACTGAAGCAAAGAAACACAGGAATTACGATTCTGGGAAAAATGAGAGCAGATCTGTTTAAAGCACTACAGCAGCTCCACAGCAGGCTGTTTACACAGGATGTACGACCAGCTGAGTGAGGCAGGAAGTGGTTATCTTTGGCCGAGCTGATGATGATGGGTGGCATCTGGTGACACCGAGTCCTGCACATTGATTCTCCTTATGATAATAGGGTCACAGAGGAAGAGAGATTGTGTATGTTAGATCAGTGGTTCTTTATAAGGGCTCAGTTAAATCCCATAAAAATATATTCTTCTCAACACCACCAGAGCTTTACCAACACAGTTTCTGTGGCACTTGTCTCCCTGTGGTTTCAGCAGCAATGCTGCTACACTCTAGCTGTCATTCCATTGTTTGAGCTGTCAAGGTGGCAGTGATTGACAGGTAATGCCTTGTGGCACATGTCAGACTGGGCAAACCATACTGATATGGAGGTGGTTCTGAGGTTGTTTTTTTTCTTTTTTGCATAATAATTTTTGGATTCCTGAAATGAATCCTGAACTGATAAACTAAATGTAGTTTCGTTTATCAATTTAATATTGTCAATTTTGTCTTTTATTGTGTGTCATGATAGGCTACACATAATCTAACATAAAGATGCAACAATGAAATCATATTTGCACAGTGCCACCAATTTAGCATAAGCATGCGACAACTCAAGGGTAGACTTAAATAAGTACGTTTAATTGTACAACGGTTTTAGGATGGTGATAAAGTGGCTAAAATAACAGGGATGTACAAAGTATCTTTTAAAATCTCATAAATAAAACAACAGGGTTTCTGACAATCCAAGAAATAGAAATCTGTACATAGATTTTTTTTAATGGGGTGGGTCCCTGTTTTATGCCAACAATGTTCAACAAAGACGACGTTGCATTCCACTTATATTGTTATTTTTAGGTCCACGTCAGTCCTACATTTATGAGCAAATTCTACCCTCTTGTGGTGACAACGACGTATCACTACCTTAGAGGCAAAGGAAGAATAGGCCTTTTTAGAAGGGAAATACTGTATCTCGATTTCTTTTTTGTTTATTTATTTCCCCTCGTTTCCTGTCTTTACCTTCAACATTTGACAAAATATTAAAATAGTTTGGGAGAGCTTTCAGACTCACAACAAATGTATTACTCTTCGGGATACAAGGAATCACACCTGGTTTAACTACTATCTGATTAAATGATAAACCACAATATTTAATTCATAATATTATCACAAAATACATAATATTTAGTGAATTTTAAAATTAAAATAAAATATTGAGCTAATATTGAGCGTTTCCATTCTTTTTTTAAAATTAATATTCGGTGTTGGTATTTGCAGCTGATTTAAAATATTATCCATATAACATAGTTTCACATTCTCTGCACTTACTTTTATCAGATTAATGAATTCATAATAAACGGAAACAAGATCCCAACATTAAAAGGGGGGGTGACCCCTTTAATACTGGCCTCATTATCTCCGATGCCTGCTCTATTTCTACTCTGCAGTCTGGCAGGGACAGAGTGGAACAGAGAGCTAATGTGTAACAGAGCTGCAAATTTAAGACAGTTAATGAGTAAGCAAAAGTAAAAAAAACAAAACAAAACATGAAAATAGAGAGGTGAGAGGTTGGGAAATGTAATGTTTATCTTCATGTTTGACTTACCTTAAACAAAATGACAGGAACACTGTGATCTAAATTATGTTTACTATGTCATGTTATTATGTGTCTTTTTTCTTTTGTTACTCCAACACAATCTGAATGACAGTTACCAGTTGAAAAGTTGTTCTCTGATTAACTGTGAGTTTTTCCATGGCAGACAAACACTCCTGCTGGCTGCTCTCCATTATGTTCTCATCAAATCACTGCACAGCAGCACCTTCTTAGTGTTCATCAAGTGCATTGTGATTACAGGCCCTCCTCAACCTTCATTTATGAAATTATGGAGTCGAAAGTGAGCTTTAAAGACACAGGTCCTAACGCACGATTTGCTTCCCTCTAGTGGAAAAAGTGTGATGCGTAGCTTTTCCAAACAACTAATGATGGAAAGCAAACAGCCCCCCAAAAATATTTTCTGACAAAATAAATAAATAAAATTCATATACTACAAGTCACGGCAACTACTTGCATTAATAAGTTATGAATATTTGTTAACTTAGTCTTAACTCACAAGTTACCAAAGTCAGATCACTCTGACCAATATGATTACTCAACACAAAAATTAAGTCTGCTTGTTAAGTTATTCTTTAAAAAAAATGTATACACTGTAAATGTACTAAAATAAACAGATTTTGTTTTATCTTATCTTCCAGTATGTCACTTGTATTATAGACTGAGTTTTGGGCGGACGGTAATTAAGGATGGCTGGATGGATGGATAGCACTTTATTAATCCCTCAGGAGTTCCCATATATATATATATATATATACATATATATACATATATATATACTTTATGTATATATATTACATATATATTACATATGTACATATATCTTATACCTTTGCTCCGTGTAATTTTTTTAATTGATTTGAAATGTAGTATACACAAACAACATTTTTCTGTTGAAATAGAAAGTTAGAAGAACATTAGAAGAATGTCGTAAATTGTACATTTCAAATGCCACTGGTTCCAAATGAAATATTAAATGAACCTGTGATTGTCACATTGTGATCCATCTAAACTTCACATAACAAACAACCAAACTTCAACAACAAAAACCCCACCCAGAGCTCCAGGGCGGCTCTATTGGCTCCTGTCTCATTTTATCCGGTTCTTCTCTACGCGACCGCTCTGATTGGCCCGCGGTGACGACAATCCGGCGCTGGGGTCCCGCCCACCGAGCGGATCAAGTTTGAATGAACAACAGCAGGCTGTTCTGGACGTGCGAGTTGCTTTGGCACTAATTATTTAAAAGTGTGTATCGCACCGAGATCGAGGATGGACATGAAGAAAAGGATTCACCTAGAGCTGCGGAACCGCACACCGTCTGACGTAAGTGTGCTGCACATGTGGCGGGT